CATCCCCCAGAGATTATTGCCATACAAACCCGTGTACCTTACTTAGTATTAGTGAGTGGGGTTTTAGCAGTACACTCTCCCTTTTCTCTTTACCTTCCATCTTTATCTTTATTCTGCTATCCTAGACTACAGTTAAGTCACTACTGTAGTCTAGAAGAGAGCCTTGTTTGATCTGCTCTAAGCTCGGCGTGGTGATGCTCATTCCACCATCGTCCCCTCTAATCCAGGGAGCTAACCCCTCTGCTTTCTAGCATTGAGGTGAGTTTTATTTCCACTGGCCACCTCTGTGGCTATAGTGTGACCCTATACCCCATCAACTCCTGGTCACATAAGAGACCGGAGCTGACAATTGGGGGTCTGGCCGGGAAATCTGTTGCCCCATGACTGTGCCATTCAAATCTCATGACAACCATTCCGATTCCTTTCATGTTGTACATTTTGATCCTTTTAGTAAAGCATAAGTATAGTTGATTGGTCATCAAACTGTCTCCTTGAATCAATAGTTGACTAACTGACTTAAGTTAACGATTATCCGATTGGTTCCTGATAGGAACCATATAAAGATGTTTGATCTGTTTTGGACAGATGCTGGTATCTCCATTTGTTTTGTTGACACTCAAGTCAAGTTTGATCTTCTTAATTGACCAACTCTACAACTAAGTAATTCAACTTGGAATTCTTCCTCCGTTTGGTTCCTACCTGAACTGCCGTTGAGCATCCTCCTTGCTACGCTGCCCTTTGGTAGCCTTGCTGTATATTTTGAGTCCGTTAATGCAGGATTTGAACACCTGTGATGAAGCGAAAAGTGTTGATCCGGACTCACTTCTCTGTTTGTTTTAGTCACTCGAGTCGAATAATACTTCAATGTTCTTGAGTGACCATCTCCATAGCAAATCAACCAATCACTGTGAATATGATTGATAGGGTCATCTGGTGAGCTAAACTGGTCAATCAGACCAAATGAGTCTTCAATCCATTCAATCGGATTGCCTCACCAGCTGGTAATCCATCAATCCATTATATTGATCACATCCCCCAAGAACAAATAGCGACTAACCACTCTGTTGCAACATCGAGCTAGCTCATGAAGAAAATACTCAGCCCCACTTTTTATTGATAAACTTACCATATCTTTAACATCCAATCACTACAATTGGTATGATCATTTGCTGAGTTCAACTCCGGTGAACTACAGCTTGACCAAGTCTTCCACTTGTTCACTCAAATCGGCTTGCTACCTAGTGATTTCGATCTGATTGATCAATGATACCATTCAAATTTTCTTGGTACATACTATATGAATCTTTGTTATTTAGTGGAAAAACCAAAGTAGTTCTTGCAAGGACATTCGGAGCGACTCACTGCTTTGGGTTTTCTTCATCCAACAAAATAGAGCAAGCTACATGCTGGTTGCCCTGATTCACTCTTGATATATATAAATCAAGCTAGCTCTGGTTTATGCAGTCCCAAGGAACATATCAAGATCAACTTACTGCTCAATGTGGAGATTAATACATTAAAACTGATCGGTTCCACTGAATGAAGCTCTAATCCAAGGACAAAACCTCTGAAAAGCAAAGAAGCCAATTCCATAACTCATAAGCAAGGAATTCTATGAGAATGTCCTATTCAGAAAGAAGATTGATAAAAAATTACTGTCAAGTGATCAATCTGGCACTTCAAAATTTAGAGAGCGTAGCTCAACTGGTTCCTGCTTGCAAGTCTTGACCTCAATTAAATAAAAATTCTAACAATGAATCAGTAGTTCTTGTGATGCATTCATCGAGGTTTATGAGAGAATCGTTAGATCAATTGCTTTGAAAAGATAGGATCTGCCAGTCCTTTTTTAGCATTGATTGAGTCATTTCACAGATCGTGTACCATCTTGATTCTTGATTTTAGTAAGGGTTCTGTTGTCATTCATTGATGATCAGAGGGTCTATCTAGACCAATTGGTTAGTCAGATAACGATCATCTTGGATGAGTTTTATTAACAGACGATATCAGCACAACAAAATACAGTATCTTCAGTGTCACCCTGGCGCTGCTGTCAGGAATCAAATTGTCTAAGTCTAAGAAGTAGCGGGGCTTAGGTGGTCTTCAATTTTGCTCCAGTCGATTTGCTACTTGGGAATTCATCAATCGATTATATTGAGCATTTGCCAAGGAAGCAGAACCACTTGATAGCCTACAGCAAATTGCTAACCTAGAGTGAATCGCTACCTCAGAGTGAATTGCTACTCTGGTGTGAATCACTACCCTAGAGAAAGTCGCTACCCTGTTTCATGATCAAGCTAGTTAATGAGTCAAGATCAAGCAAGCTCATGAACAACATATCAATCAAAACTTTTTACTCATGATCAATGGACTTACCAAGCAAGAGCTCTACTACACTATTCTTATTGAAAGTTCAAACTGATTCCAATGAGAAAGGAAAGAGACTATTTCCCAAGCTTACCACATTGCAAAATGAAATTTTAATTTATTTATGTGGTTTGAGCCTTTGCAAGCCAAAGCTTCACACTTTCTGGTAGCGCATTTTTTATTTCCTTCTTTTTGATTTTGAAGATCCAGAAGCTACATAAAACTTAAAAAAAAAAAAAAAAAAAAGCTCTGATATGATGTTAGTCTTGTTGGCAGATCATGAATTCCATGATTGATTATGTTTGTCTTTGTGGTTTTCTTGACTTGAATTAACATGGATCATTCCAATAAGCTTTCCTTTTGAACCTACCTCTCTTTATCATTATCATTCATGATTCAGAGATGCTACATGCAGGTTTAAGAAGATGAAATAAATGTATTATGTGTTTGATTGAGAAAAAAAATAATGTTTGGGGAAACATAGCATTACTACCCTCTTGACTGAAATGATAGTCTGTGCAGCAAGTATATGATATTCACATATGAAGGGCCTTTGGATAATGTAGGTCAAGAATTCAAAGAAGATAGCTGTAATTTGACTTACTAATGCTCCTACTTGGTGGTGAGAATGTACTATATTTGTTGAATAATAATATGTGAATAAATAAGTATCTTTGAGTTTTTCCAAACAATTATGAAGCTGCCCGTTGTGAGAAATATGTGGCTCCTGCCCAGAATATTTCTCATTTTTTGGGGGAGGGTAGATGTTAGACACTGAGAAATTCATCCATGTGTCTACAAAAATATTCAATGAAAAAGATAACCTTTCAATAATTGTCTATCATTGGAACAGTGTTCAAACAGAATAATTCTTATAATTTGAAACATCATCTTTTATGTGCTCTGTTTGTGGGAAACTTGAACATGTATTTTTCCTTTTGTACAAAAATTGAAAAGAATGAGATGACCATTTTTTCAATATAAATGACCTTCAAAAATGTCATATTTTTCTCAGAGATTTTGGGCATATGTTGTTTTGAAAATTTCCTCTTTGAGTAATTTCTCCTTTTGGTGGGGGCGAATGTCAGACACTGAGACACTAGTCCATGTGTCTACATGAGATTTTAACCCCTCCAGGTTACATAACAATTATTATTATATGTAATCTTTAAGTTAATAATTATGAAGTAGAGTTATTCCTTTTTACATGTATTATTTATGTTAATAATTATTCTGTAAATTAATAAAGATTAACCTCTTTATTAATTTACCTCCTCCATGAAAATTATAATCAAGTTGAAAAGGATAATTATCTCTTGGGTGTATCCAAGAGATGATTATCCTGTTTATCTCTCTTGTGTGAATATATATTCTGTTTATCTCTCTTATGGTATTTTCTGAAATAAAGGATATTCAGCACATGTACATTTATCATGCTCTGAATATCCTGACACTTTCCCCAGCGGTGGGCCGCTACGCTACGCTACGCTTTTGGCCCAAAAAGCGTAGCGTAGCGGCGCTTTTTTTCATCCAAAAATCGTAGTGTTAGCGGTTTTTTGCTACGCTACGCTGCGCTACAGCGCTTTTAGCGGAAAAAGCGGCCAAAAACCGCTAAAAACCACTGTAGCGCAGCGTAGTGGGCCATTTTTTGCGGCCCACACGCGTAGCGTTAGCGGTGTCGTGGCGGAATTCCGCTACGCTACGCTAATTGCTAACAGCGATTCCGCTGCGTTACGCTACACTAACCGCTACGGTTAGTGTAGCGGCCCACTGTTGCTTTCCCCCAAGGAAAAGTGTAACAATAAGGGGACTGCACCGGTCCCAGCAGCAGATTGACCCCTGCTCTGTAATATTTAAGAGGATGTCTCTCCCCCTGAGATTCATCCCCCAGAGATTATTGCCATACAAACCCGTGTACCTTACTTAGTATTAGTGAGTGGGGTTTTAGCAGTACACTCTCCCTTTTCTCTTTACCTTCCATCTTTATCTTTATTCTGCTATCCTAGACTACAGTTAAGTCACTACTGTAGTCTAGAAGAGAGCCTTGTTTGATCTGCTCTAAGCTCGGCGTGGTGATGCTCATTCCACCATCGTCCCCTCTAATCCAGGGAGCTAACCCCTCTGCTTTCTAGCATTGAGGTGAGGTTTATTTCCACTGGCCACCTCTGTGGCTATAGTGTGACCCTATACCCCATCAACTCCTGGTCACATAAGAGACCGGAGCTGACAGTTTGCCTGAAGGAAAATATTGACCCACTGGGTGGCAAGGTGCTCAAGCCTATTCAAATATGAGTGGACCCATTGGTACCCCATAGAGTTAGTGTTGCCTCAATTTATACAGTTTTGAACTCCAGGTGCTTCATGCTTTTTTTCCTGGAAATGCCAAGAGAATCAATTAGTGAAAAGAATTGCAGGTCATCAGGCCTATGGGCCAACCTGGAACCCAAATTGGGGTCCCTGCAAAGTCTGGACCCTTCGGGCTCCACGCGTCCCCGCTGCAGATACTCCACATGTGTGCTTTCCTGTTTAGACCAATGGCCAGCCAAGTCAGAACATATATGCGCCCACCATCTTATAACTGCATTCACACCCATTTGTTTTGCCAGCAACGATTGATAACACATTCCCCGGTCAGAATGGCCGACAGTGTTGTTCCACGAGCAGTTAGAAATTGGTTCAGGACGACTTATCCGACTCTAGTATTCGAAGAAACTTGGCTAACACAGTGCTGTGAATATCTTCAAGTTGGTTTAGTCACTCTTAGGTCTCAGCTTTATCTCGATCAAATCTTCTCCTCAGAAATTGTAACTGATTTGGAGGGTTGACTGAATGACGCTGTGAATCTCTTGTTGCCGAACTCACGCGATCGTTTTCCACAAAAATCGAACAAAAAAAGCATAGACTCACTTCGACCTGACCCCACCACAATTGATCAAAAAAATTGAAAATCAACTTTTGCTATCCGATTTATCGACCTCGACTTCTGCAGAAACGCCCCCTTTGAAGGACCTGTGGATACCTGAACAAGATGTTGAACGTCAGACAAAAGTGCAACATCTTCCGAACCGAGGAATCTTGGTGCAAATCCAGTCGATCACTGAGATCGGTCATTCGGCGCTTTCGCTTCGGACTGTTCACCAGAAACTCATAGATGATGCGCAAGGAAGAGATCGGGTCTTAGATCTGGAGGACCCGGAATCGCAGGACCGGCAAGCACCAATCCTGTATCCCAGGGCCATGCTCAAGTTTGATCTCAGTGATGGTCATCATACGATACCAGCAATCGAGTACCAAAAGATCGATGGCCTCAGTTTGGCTGAAACTCCTCTAGGGTGCAAGGTGAATAGATTAGGTTTCATCCTGCCTTACTCACAGGCTCCTTCCTTTTGGTTAACAAACAACTCAAATATTGTTTCTTTTGACACCCGGTTAAGTAGCTGTTGATTAAATCCGCCACGGTTAGGCGCGGCCTTTTACTGCTTACCTCCGAAAACACTACTATCAAAGGCTTCCAAGTAGATGAATTAGATCTGAACCGCGATCGAATCCTTCAGGAAGGACTCAATGCGCGTTTAAGGTATGTCAGGAACCCCACATTGTGCAAGACTCGTGAAAAGAAATGATCACATTGCTCACCCACCTGGTTTGATCCGGATGTGCTGGATTTATACAGCCGAGCCGCAGACAACCCAGAACGTAATGACGATCAACAAGCCGGGAACCGGAATCCGAATGGTAATGGTGTCACAAACTCTTCGGCAACCTCCTTTCAATCCGCATCGATCGTCAATACGCATGACCCGTCATCAGTCACTCAACCAAGAGTGATTGTAGACCTGAGTGACTCGGATAACTACTTTGATGATAATTCGGACTTCGAAGCTCAACTGTTGGCTCATGACATTTGATCATCTCATTTTTTGAGAAGTTTCTGCTTCCGTCGTCGTCTTTAATCTTGAAACAGATTTTTTTAACAATAACTCGCTGACTCATGAATGCGACTCAATCCATTGATCAAAAAACCATCAAAAAATTCCTGACATGTATTGTTTTGCTGTCTATCTACTCCTGCTATAGACAACCGTTGTCAGTATCATGACCTAGTCTTTCAGAGACCTATTGTAGCCTCTTGCTGGCTGGTGTGGTGAGATCTGTCTTTTTAAACTGAACCGCAACAAACACAAACTTATCTATTTTTGTGTATAGTTGTCAAGATATTTGTCAACTCTTTTTGTACTCACACAGAGATCCTCTTATTACATCCCTCCTCTCCTTGTAAAATCTGAAAGAGGTATAGCAACAGCAATTGCCAAACTAAGTGGATCATTCACAAAGGAATGAATAAAGGGGAAATGTACTAATCTTTCTAGGATGGCAGTCAGCCCTTTGAATTTTCCTGCCAATGGGAAAGTTTGACTTTTTGAAATCTAGGACATGCACTCCCTTGCAGCACTTGTGACAGGATGAGTGGGCTGAAAGGGTTCCTCATACTACTTCAACCTGTTCAGGGCTGAAATGCCCTTAACAATTCTGATGAAGCTCTCCAAATTTGAACAGATGAGGAATTAATCCTTTGGTCGATATTAATTGAAGATGTAGAATCCCATGGTAGCAATTCTCAAAGTGAAGAGCCTGAAATACCACAACCTCTCAAAACAAGGAATAGACAGTGTCAGAGCAGTTCCACCGCAGACCCTAATTCTGGGCCGTTAAATTTTGAAATTTGGGTTTGCAAAGCTACCTTTACAGCCTCAAACTGCTGCGGAATACACCACAGTTTGGAGGAGTGGTTGGTAAATCTTCATGACATGTGAGCTGCTGAGGGTGGAGTGGTGAGTGAGTGTTGAGTTTCACAAGTTGTCATTGTGTGAAAGTGTAGTTTGGAGGCTGTAGTCCAGTCCCTAGGAGTCCCTACATGTGAGGACTTGGGAGCAGGATTTAGGGACCACCATAGATTTTAGCAACCGCTGTGGGTCCTGTAGGGTCCTTAAATTCCACATATGGACCCAATTTACAGTCCGTGGTGGAGTTGCTCGCATCTCTTGGACCCTTTGTTAATAAGATGAAATGGATGTTGTGAAATCCAAACTCACACATTTTATGCATAATCATTTATGCATCGTGTCATTCTCGACTATGATCATGACACTCATATCGATTGCGTCGTTTTCTTTTCTTCTGCAAGCAACTGCATTTTTCGCCGATAACTTTCATCTTCCCCTTCTTCAACAGTTGCTCACCACAATCACAATCTTCATCAATCAAAATCATCTGAGGTTACATTCGATTGCTGATCAATCAAGTTTCAACACTCGACTCATCGACCAACCACTTCTAACATTCAGGAGGAGCTAGATTTAGCTTCTGGGCAGGTAGCGTGTTTTATGCTATGCTATCTTTGATTGTTACATGTTATTAACGGTTTCTTTTCTTATACTTTCAGGCTATTTTGTTGTGATAATCCTCGTGTTAAAGAAGTCAACGTCGTTGCGTTTTTGTGTTCTAACTTTATTGTATTCTGATCTCATTTATCAGGTATTTCTTTCTTCAGTTTCTTATTGTTCAGATCGGATGTTGATCATATTTACTTATCATTATTTTTTGTTAAGATTATTACTTCTATTAAGTTTTATAATATTATTTCTATAAAGTATTGATTCAACCATTTTTACAATGGATGATTCCAATCACTCTTGATGAAAAAACTTAAGAATGTATTTCTTGTGGGCTTGAAACGACTCCTAAAAATTAGTCGACGACTCCCGTTTTGGTCGGGAGGTCGTCGAACGGGAGTCGTTCTTCCAATTCCCCCCAAAAAAAGGAGAGTCGTCGTCCTAATTTCAATGGCGATTTTTTAATTTTTTTTATGAAAAAAATGGGAGTTGCCCGCCTAAAGGGCGGGAGTCGTTGTACCAATTTAGCCAAATATTTTTTATTTTTTTTCATTAAAAAAATTGGGAGTCGTCCGCCTAAAGGGCGGGAGTCGGCGCCCAAATTTATCCAACTAATCTAATTTTTTTTGGGCATTAATAAAAAAACACGGTTTTTCCGCGTTTACACGCGGTTTTGCTGCGGCACAGCGCACGCGGTTTCCGCGTCTAAACACGGTTTCGTAATTAATTTTTTATGGGTTATTTTTTGAGTTTTTTTGAATTTTTAAAGTTGTTTCCTACACTTTAAAAGGTGTAGAATTTAATGGTAAAAACCATTTTCCATAAAAATGAATTTTGATTATTAATTATTTTTTTTCACTCATTTCTAAATTAATTGTTTGCATACATGTATGTACCTTATTTTTTATGTTTTTTTAATATTTTAAATTTATTTCCTACGTTCTAATGTGCCGTAGAATTTAAGG